ACCACTCTTCAGCCTAGATCCTTATCTAGGCTGAAGAATACTTAAAGTTGGTTGTTCCAGCCAACCAATCTTCAGCCTAAATTCTTATCTCGGTTGAAGAGTATTTAAAGTTGGTTATTCCAGCCAACCACTCTTCAGCCTAGATCCTTATCTCGGCTAAAGAAAAGAAAGTGTTGGTCATACCTGCCAACTTCTTGTAGCCTAGATCCTTATCTCGGGTTAGGAGAAGTAAGTGTTGGTTTTTCCAGCCAACCTCTTCAGCCTAGATCTTGATCTTGGCTGAAGAGAGCTCAAAGTTGGTTATTCCTGCCAACTTAGAGTGAAGTGTTTGGCTATTCCTGGCAAACTTCCTGCAACCCAGATTCTTATCTCGGCTTAGGAGAAATAAGTGTTGGTTTTTCCAGCCAACCTCTTCAGCCTAGATCTTGATCTTGGCTGAAGAGAGCTCAAAGTTGGTTATTCCTATCAACCTTGAGCGAAGTGTTTGGTTATTCCTACCAAACGTCTTGCAGCCTAGATCCTTATCTCGGCTTGGGATAAGTAAGTGTTGGTTTTTCTAGCCAACCTCTTCAGTCTAGATCCTGATCTTGGCTGAAGAGAGCTCAAAGTTGGTTATTCCTATCAACCTTGAGCGAAGTGTTTGGTTATTCCTACCAAACGTCTTGCAGCCTAGATCCTTATCTCGGCTTGGGATAAGTAAGTGTTGGTTTTTCTAGCCAACCTCTTCAGTCTAGATCCTGATCTTGGCTGAAGAGAGCTCAAAGTTGGTTATTCCTATCAACCTTGAGCGAAGTGTTTGGTTATTCCTACCAAACGTCTTGCAGCCTAGATCCTTATCTCGGCTTGGGATAAGTAAGTGTTGGTTTTTCTAGCCAACCTCTTCAGTCTAGATCCTGATCTTGGCTGAAGAGAGCTCAAAGTTGGTTATTCCTATCAACTATTGAGGAGGGAGGCACTGCTCGGCTTCCACGACATTCAGGTCATTTCTTCAGTTTTCTTACATTCTAGTCATCAAATTTCCACTAACACCCTGAAATTGACATGAGAACTTCCCCACACTACATTAATACACTACATCTAAAATATTGCCCTTCTGTATTGTATTCATACTCTGTACCTAACTTCAGCATATACTTCGAGAGAGGAAGTTCATGATTTGAGCACCCTACTCGCCCGATCAAAGATTGGTCTCTACTAATCATAATGTGATTCTTATTTACATTATATGCTCTTGTTCTGATTATTAGGATAAATTACTATGTGATGCACACACAAGTATACTAATTTACAAAAATTGAAACATTTTGATCTCGTGTTTGTTTTTTGAAAATTGTTTGAATATGTACCACTTGAAAAAGCGATCTCATATACATATTACTCAAATTATTCCAATTCAAGTAATTAGCCTTCATCCACAGGTATTCAAGCAAGTATATCAATTAAGCACTTGGCTTCATGGCAAGCATGCTAAACATGGCAACAACCACACTCATGCGATATGCTAAAGCACAAAAATGCTCACCTCGTACTCCAAGGCAAGTCAAAAGAAACAAAAATAATTAGAAAACATGCATGTTCCTAACTAATGCAACATGACTAATGCAACACATGCGAAATGCAACTAAATAGGCTCGGCTACTAGTTATGATATGTGAATCAACTTAATAGCATGCAGCTTAATCACGTTTTCAAAGAAGTATTTAAACGACAATGCTTGCTAGAATGATGAACCGAGCCTCGATACATGCAAGACAAGTGGATGTAAATCATGGAGAACGCTAAACGATATGTGATGTGCTACACTATCCATCATACGCGGATAAATAAAAGGGAGAAAGACGTGGGGTTGGAAGACATACACATTATTACAAGTTTGTCCCTCGCACCAGAGGGTCCGAATAAATGCCCTAACTAATTACTATGAATTAACTAATCCATTACAAATCAAATGAAATAAATTAACTAAGCTACTTAACTAATTATTACAACAACGAATTAACTAACTACTTTAGCTAATTAAATAAGTACAACACCAAATTAACTAGCTATTCTACTTAGTTTAATACAAAAACTAACTAACTAATTATAATCCACAATTAATTAGCTAATTAATTAACTATTATGAGCCCCGAGGAATGAGGGTTGACCCATGCATGCACGCGGATTTCCACCCGTAAAAGTTCTCCGTTTTGCTACTGGAATGACTCTGTTGCACAGTTAGAAAATTGTATTGTTTTTCCACCTCAGTCTCTGCTCTGCTCTACTGAAAAAAGGGCATTGCTTGGGTGGAAAAAATGGCAGACAACCCAGAAGTAGTGGCCTGCCGCCCAGTAAAAGTGGCCTGCCGACCACTAATGTTGGTTCTTTCCTGCAGTAATAGAGAACAAATAGAGCACAAACCAAAGTATTCTCAGGGGATGTTTGTCCACCCTGTCTCTCCTTATCAGCAAACAGGTCAAAGGAGGGGTAAGCTTGATTCGCAAGCCACCAATCGATGCAATTTCATTGCGTGATGACTTATGAATCAATGGACACAATTTCAATAAATGGTAAGCAAAGACCAACAAAATCTCCTCCCTATCATGGATTGATCAAGGGAAGTGGTTGACCTTGGAAACTTGAACCATTTCATCACTAACAAGTATGAAATGAGCCAAGTCTCCATGTGTTCAATTAACGTCCAATTGAACACCAAATCATTTTATTATCTTGGTCCATTTTATTCCAATTTTAACACCTCTTTTAATTATCTTTACATTCATTAGTCATTTTAGTCCAAAATGAGCATTAAGTCTACTAATGGAGAGAAGTGTCAAACAAAGGGTTGTTTTAGGCATGAGAGAGATGTCATGCCGTTGGTAATGAACCTCCGAAGAGATTAAACCATTTAGCACAACGTCCTTAATCTCAAGCTTAAACAAACAATCGGTTTGAAACCACTCTCAAAGAAAAAGAAAAACCAAGAAATAGGGAGGTTGCAGAGATGCTTAGAGATGAACACAAGTATGGAAAGCAAGAAAGAAATGCTATCAACTCAAATAGGTTGGTGGCTAAGGCCTAAACCACCAAGCCTAAACCACTAAGCCTATGAGGACCATTACACTACAAGCATACTATACAAAGCATGAATGATGTTAACTCATAAAAACAATCCAAAACAATGCTGGAATTAAGACAAAAACAACTACAACAACTAGCTAAAATATTGAGGGATTAAAACTAGCACACAAGCACAAGGAGGGGAGACTAACCCCTCCACTTTTGGGACTTCAAAACATGATTTTAGCCTCTGAAAAACCTCTGAAAATTAGTGGTAAAAAGCTCAAAAAAATTGATGAGAAGATGGGAAACACAAGGGCAAAGGCCTTAGAAACAAGGTTCAAAGAAGGGTTGTCAACCCCTCTACCTTTAATGGTCTTAAACCACAAGTTTCAACCCAAAAATATAGGTAATAAACAGCTCAAAAACAGTAAGAAAAGATAAGAAGAAGATAGTACAAAAGAATTAGAAGGTACACCTCTTGAAGAGGAATGATCCCTTAAATTTCCAGACCACTATTTCACACTCTCAAGTGCCTCAAGAGTTAAAATTCAAGCTCAAATCACCTCAGCAAGGAACTCTCTAGGTTTGGTTTAGATTTCCTAAGTCAAGGTTATGTAAGTTGCAAGAGAAAGAGAGAATTCTAGAGAGACCAATTTTCCAAAATTTTGCTATCTAAAATTTTCTAAATTCAAAATTTTTTCTAACCTCTCTAACAAAAGAGAGGGTCATTTATATATAAAAATATATGAGAGATCCTCTAAAATATCTATACAAACACAGCTGGAATGGTGCATGCATCTGTGGAGATAGCTATCAGAAAATATCTAGTTTTTTACACTAATTGTCGGCAGGCCACTAATAGTGGACAACAGGCCACATTAGTGGACGGCATGCCACACGAGTAGGTCTGCAGGTCCCTGGATGCACAGGCCTGAAAAACCACTATTTTGATCTAAAACAAGGTACAAGGTTTGTAGGTTCAAAACTGAGGTTTCCTATTAAGGAAGTCAAGCATTTGACAAGCGTACACATTCATTATTGAGTGATCAATCAGTGGGCCCAAAGTCTTAAGGGCCGTAAAAAATGGGGTGTTTACACTTGGTTAAACGATCAACCTCCACTATGATGAAATTTTTTTCATTTGACAGTGGCAAACCTTTCACAAAATCCATGGAAATATTAGTCCATACTTTATCGGGTAGGGGCAGTGGCTATAGTAAATCATCAGGATGCGAACAATCAGATTTACAATGTTGACATGCATCATAATTTGTTATGAAGTCCTTGGTTGCAATGCGCATGTGAGGCCAAATAAAACTTGCGTTGCTGCGGTTCAATGTTTTATGATAGCCAAAGTGTCTACCAATCAGCAAAGAGTGTTGTGTGCATAGAATGGCATGAGGTAGTTGCGAAGAGGGACTCAAATAGATGCACCCACTTTTGAAAAGCACCCTATCACATAAGGAATACTGTGGCTAAAGATGTGATGGTAGTGAGCCCAACAATTGACTATAGAATGAATTGGTTGCTACCTCTTTCAGGATGTGATCTCCAGTCCACGATGGGTAAGGACACGGTAAGGAATTCAAGCTCTTCAACCCATGAGAGGGCATCAGCGCCATAATTCTCTTTCCGTTTCTTGTACTCAATAATATAATCATACCCGAAATTTTTTGGTAACCACCGTGTTTAGGGCAGCATCATTGCTCTAACAAACATTTTAAACTTCTCTAATCAGTGCGAACAGTGAAAGGTTTGCTGATGAGATACGATTACCATTTGCAAATGGCCTTGACTATTACTAGCATCTCCTTCTCATATGTTGATAAAGCTAAGGCCGAAGGTTGAAGAGCTTCACTAAAGTAGGCTACTTGCTAGCCCTGTTGTGATAAAATAGCTCTGATACCCACCCCACAAGCATCGCATTCAATCATGAAGGTTTGAGAGAAATCTGGTAATTAGAGGACTGAAGTGGCAGCCTCAGAAGTCCATTGGAACCCATCTTTGGACAATAATCGAGTGAGAGGCGCAGCAATTTCCCCAAAACCACTGTTAAATTTTTGGTAGTATCTAACTAAGCCAAGAAAGTCGCGAACCCCTCTAGTCGAAGTGAGGGTAGGGCATTTGAGAACTGAATTAATCTTTTCTAGATCGACGGCCACTCCTACAAAGGAAATAAGATGTCCCAAGTATGCCACCTGTGAAAAGTCAAAACAACATTTAGATTGCTTAGCAAATAATTGATTGCTAGGTAAAACTTGAAGAACTGCACGGAGATGGCTGAGATGGTCGACCCAAGTTTTGTTGGACATCAAAATGTCGTCAAAAAAACTAGAACGAACTTCCTTAAGTAGGGTCGTAACAAGTCATTCATCAAACTCTAGAAGGTGGAGGGGACATTTGTAAGTTCAAAAGGCATCACAATAAATTTGTAATGTCCATCATGTGTCCGAAAAGTAGTTTTATGAACATCAACCTCTCACGGAGATCGAGTTTTGAAAAATACCAAAATCCATGCAATTCTTCGAGGAGTTCATCTATGATAGGGATCAAGTATTTGTCTTTGATGGTAATATTGTTGAGGGCTTGATAATCAACACAAAACCGCCAACCACTTTTGATGAGCAATACTAGCGAAGAAAATGGACTGGTACTCAGGCAGATCAAACCTAAGTCAAGAAATTCTTTCCAATTTTTATTTTTTGATAATAAAGGTACCGGTAGGGTCAGACATTCATAAGTTCCTGATTTGGTTGCAACGAACTGTGGCGATCATGGGTTCGTACTGGTGGCAAGGTGTTAGGGATGGCAAAACATGCTTAAATTCAGTAAGGATGAGGTCGATAGGGTGGTCATTGACTGAAGTTGGGTCGTGGCTTGGAATGATTTGAAAATACAAGGCCATTCTGTTGAGGTTGAGAAGTTCCTTATCACTCAAGGCGATGGATGTAGATTGCTTAAGGCCTTGAAACATACAACATTTTATCTCATTGCTAGAAAGAAATGGTGAGCTTACTGTAGTTACTTTCAATCGGTCCAAGGGTGGCCAACCCCTAAACTCCCAAAACCACTTGACAAGCCATTGCTGGTAAAACATAAAAATCTGCTTGAATTGAAAAGTTTTGGGCAAGGAGTGTAAGTCTACGGCATCGTCCATCACAATCGATTTTGTCCCAATTGGCCACCATTACTTGCAACTTTTGATCACGTGTTACGGGTAGCCCAAGTTTCGTGACTATGGCTTGATCGATGAAGTTGTGGGTACTCCCCCCATCAATGAGGATAGTCACCGCTTTATTTTTTAAATTGCCCACCACTCGGAAAGTTTGAGGATGTGTCGTTCCTGCTATCGCAATGAATGAGATTTCAGGAAAGGACTCGATTATATCGAGTTCTTCTGGAAAGTCCATAGTGATGGTGGGTTCAATCAATGGCGACTTTTCAATCATAAACAACTGGGGTCTTTGACAACGGTGACCTGGAGTGAACTTCTCGTCGCAATAGTAGCATAGCCTTTTCTTATGACGTTCTCATGCCTCTTAACTGGTAATTCATTGGAATGGAATTGGAGCATTGGTCGAGGTTTGACTCACCTTTGGTGCGGGTGGAGGTCCTAAAACTCCGACTGCGTTGTTTAGAGCAGATCATGGTGTGAAGGCTGCCACTTGGGGACGGAAGAAACTGCTCAATTTTTTTCTATAAGAGTTGTGCTCTTCAATTAGTCATGTCACTCCAATGGTGTCGATCAAGGTGCGTGGTTGTTTGAGTTTGACGTCCAGACATATGTTGTCACGAAGTCATGTAATGAAACACCCAATCAAGTAGTTTTCGGGTAGCCCATCAACCTGATGTGAGAGCATCTTGAAGGCTTCTTGATAGATAGCAATTGTTGAAGTTTGTTTGAGATGGGTCAAAGCTTCCAAGGGATCCTCATAGTTGTTGGGCCGAAACAGAGCAATAGGGCTTTGGTTAGCTCGTTCCAAGTTAAGGGATCCCTGAACTTGGTCAACCATCAAAGCCATTGTAGAGTTATGCCCTTGAGGTGAAAGAACGCAAGCTGAACTTGTTGGTCAGGAGCAACATTTTTTAAATCAAAGTACTGTTCGGCCTTATAGATCCAACCCGTCAAGTCATCTCCACTAAATTTCAGGAATGAGAGTTTCAGATGTGTATGGTTTTGGTCAAGGGTGTTATTGGTACCATGGGTTAGTGATTGGTTATTAGTGGTGGAAAGAGGTTGATTATGAGAGGTTTTGGCTTGAGCAAAAGGGTTATCGATGGGAATGGGGTTTTACGAGACTCATAGGGATTGGAGTTCTGTCAAAACAGTTTGGAGAGTACCATGGATTTGGCCAAAGTTAGACTCGTGACAAGCTAGGATTTTGCTGATTTTGTTGCAAAACTCAGTATTGCTTTTGGCCCTAATGTTCGTGTAACCTAGCTTTGATACCAAATAATAAGTAATTTGTATAAGAATAGTTAGAGAATGGCTAAGACAAAAGAAGAACAGAGACTTAGGAAAGGGAAGAAGTTTGGGATTATATTTTACTGCCTTTATTTCAATAGTTCCCAGGCTATTTATAAGCCAAATGAGAACACCAACCACAGAAAATAACAATTGAAATAATAATGCAAAAAGATGCGGCACAAATTGTGGAAGTAGTTACAACCATTTATTGAAAACAAACTACAACTAAGTCATATTCTTGAGGCAGTAGTTCCTGTTTTTATGCTAAGGCCTATTCTCACGCATGACCCATCCTCATGAACATATCACTATTCTCATGAACATATTAGTCTATTTCCTCTATCTGTTGAATTTTTACTCAATCTATATTACCTGTATGGGATTTGTACATATAGACAAACACTTTCTCTTTCTCTCTCACTTCTCTTCATCTCTTTCTCTCCTCTCACAGCATCACAGTCTCCACTACTATCATTCAGAGTGCTTCTCATCTACTAGATCATCTTCCGCAACACTAGAACCACCACCATCACCATTATCCAAGTTCACAACCATCTCTTGTTCTCAAACCCCTAAAATTTCCTCTCTCTAGCTTTCTCTTTTTAGAAATGTCTAGTTGTGTGGCAAGGGTTTGGGCAAAGAATGAGCCAAGCGTCACAGAAAGGTCCTCTGAGACAATATCCAAGGCATCACAAAACCTATGATTCGACATTTGGCTCGTAGAAGTGGAATCAAGAGGATCAGTGGGCTCACCTACGAGAAGACTCACGGTATTCTCAAGATCTTCCTTAATAATGTTATTCATGATATTGTGACCTATACTAAGCACGCTCAGAGGAAGATTGTGGCTGCCATGGATGTTGTTTATGCTTTGATGAAGCTGTGAGAGAGAGAGAGAGAGAGAGAAAAAAAAAATGGGTTTGATTTCAACAGATAACATGCATGGATCTAAAAAAATTCAAAGGCGTGCCCTTATGGATCCAAACAAAAAAAAGGACTGTCCTTATATCAATGTCCTTAAAAGTCCATAAATGGACCTATGACCTGAGCACCCTTAGATAAATTATATGGACCTCCCTTAAAGTTTAGAGAAAGTACATTAAGTCTGACAGTTTTAATATAATTATATTGAACTATTTTGAGATTTTAATTCATATGATACTTAGTCCTATTTTTATCAATAACTTGTTAATTATATTACATGAAAATATTATATTATCATCTCTTTATGCGAAAATTTATACTTTTCATTATTTATTTTTATATTTTCACACTATTTATATTAGTTTCAATCTATTTAATTTTATTCTTATTTCTTATAATCAAATAACGAAGTGGGAATGGGGATAGTAGAAATTTTGGATTGATATGTTAGGATGCGGTGACGTGTAGTGTTAGGTTTAGTTTGGGAAGAACTTTTTTAGCTTTATTTTTTGACTTTTTGACTTTTAGCCTAACTAAAAAAGTTTCGTTTGTGATGAAATTTTGACTTTTTTGTAGTTTTGTGAGAGAGAAAATGATCTAGTTATGCTTTAGATATGATATTTTGTCTTATTGACTTTTTACGCTATTTTCTCTTTTAGTGAGCAAAATTAGTCTCAACCATCTTACCAAACGGGGGCTCAATCAACTCCACTTTCTTTTGAGGAGTTTTTTTGGTAAAATATTTAAAAAAATCAAACTGAATAAGGATTGTGGCAACTTGGTGTAACAACCCTCGTTACTGTTTACCGATAACCACTGATTACCGTTAAATTGAACTGATTATGACTGATAAGTGAACTGAATAAACTACTGAATTGACTGACTAAAACTGAAACTGAATTGACTGAGTATATCTGTTCAATTGTATGTCTATCTGTTTGATTGTTTATTTGATCTGTTCGTATTTTCGTGTTTAAACTGCTAATTGAAGGCCTTATCGGCGGCCGAACCGGAAATCGATTAGTGTTTTATGATCATCATAATTTACGTGATTTTATGGCATATTTATCTGAAAACTGGTTAGGATCTTATGGTATGATTAAATTAGATTAAAGAGTGCTAAATTACAAGAGTTGCATTATTTACCAAACCAACCCCTAGTGGACCTCTACACCAAACTTTGTTTAAGCCTTAGCCTTGCATTGCAAAACATTTCCTCAGCTTCTTTTGAGCACACCACCGAACTAGAGAGAGAGGAAGTGAGAGAGTTGTATTGTTCTAGAGAATTGGCTTGGAAGACTTGAAGGGATCATAGGAGAATTGCCTAATTGGACTCCTATACTTGTAATTGAAGCTCTAGGTGAGGAATTCAACCTCTCATTGTTGTGTTAAGTGGATTCTTGCATTGTTCATGTCTAAATTGATGAATTGAGTCATGTTCTAGTCCTAGCATGTTGAATTGGAGCTCATTTCATGCATGCATGTTTGAATTGTTGAATTTGAGTTGTTTTCATAGAGAATTGTCACATGCATGCTCATGGTTATGTTAAGTCCATGTTTCCATCATGCTTTTGTAAGAATTAGCTCATTTGAGCTTGTATTTAAAGCTTTGAATTGGTTAGATTCATGCATGTTCGCATGTTCTTCATATTCATGAAAATTGGTTTCAAATTGAGTTTGTTTGAAACACCCTTAGGCTTTGATTTTGCAAATTGAGCTTTGAATCATGTTAAAGAATGAGTTTTGATGTGTTTTCCAGCAAACTAGCCCAAAAGGATCGAAATTCATGTTTTAAAACTTGAATTTGAGCTTGAAGTTCAAATCTGGAATTCCAGATTTTGAACTCACGCTCGAGCGGGGTGACTGGCGCTCGAGCGTGGAAATCGTGCTCCCAGCATTTGTTCTGTTGAAGTCCGCTTCGAGCGGTAAAATTTGACGCCGAGCGGATATTGTGTCTCATGCTCGAGCGGTGTCGAGCGCCCAATCGAGCGTGATTTTCACCTATCCAGCACTTTTGGACTGTTTTGCAGAACGCTCGAGCGAGTAAGTCTACGCTCGAGCAGAAACCTTTGTCTACATGTCCCGCTCGAGCGGGATCAACCTACGCTCGAGCGTGACCCCTGTTTTCTGAAAGTCTGAAAATGCTTTTAAAAAGTACATCTTTGCATCGTCATCCCATTCTTGGCATTCTTAGGCCTAGTTTAAGGCATCTTTAGTGAGGATATAGATGTAGAAACACACCGGACAATTAGGGATTAAGTTATTATTTTCCCAAACCGTGTAGCTAGTGTGTGTTATCTGTACTGTTAGGTTTTGCTTTCGAGGAGACGCTCTAGCTTACTGTAGCCCAGAACTCTTGTGAGTAACATCTGTGTAAAGATATGTTCAAAATGATTATTTTCTGAACAATTGAACTATACTGCTTTCTGAACTGTTACTGTTAATTGAATGAATGTATGTCCTATATTCTGAACTGTATTGTGGCATCCTTAGCAACTACTGTTTACTGTTACTATTACAGAAATCTCTGTCGGTTCTCTTGTTGGAACCACTACTGTTTACTGATTGATGGCCATCATTTACTGTTCTGTCTTTTAAGACCTACTGTTTACTGTACTGTTATGCTAATGGATGTACCACATATGACTGTACTGACTGAACGACTGAAATACTGATTTAATGAACTGTTTTCATTACTGTAAGGACATTCATTCTTAACCCCTTTACGCATTGTGTTATTCACTGGGCTTTAGCTCACTGCTCATATATATATGTAGGTGTCCAGGCACCAGACTGCAGCTAGGAGCGTCGAGGTTAACTCCAGTTTTGTCAAGCCAACCTATGTGCCTCAATGCGAGGTTCCGAGCCTGCCATGCTGTGTGATATGACTGACTGAATATATGCTAAAGTATGAACCGGTATAAATAGTGACTGCTTAAATTGATAATTCTTATAACTGCTTATAGTGAAATGGATAATGCAAACACTGCGACTGAATCCTCATCCTTCGAGGCCAGAATGGCCAGACTGGAACGAATGATGGAACTGATAACTGAAAGATTAGACCAGCAACAGAATCAACAGCCCCCACCTCCTCCTCCGGCTGTACCGGAACAGAATACTAACGTAAATGATTGGGACATAATAGCTCTCACCCACAAGTTCAGCAAAATGAAACCACCATCCTTTCAGGGAGGCCTTGAACCGTTAATGGTTGAAGCATGGGTTCTTGAGGCTGAAAAATTATTTGAGATTTTTCTGTGCTCTGAAGCACATAAAGTGCTATTGGCCACCTTTACTCTGCAAGAAGAAGCCAGAAGGTGGTGGATGCTTATCCATAATGAAAATATAGTTATGACTTAGGCTCAATTCAAGGGAGTCTTCTTCGAGAAGTATTTCCCTCAGTGTGTTAGGGATAGAAAGGTGACTGAGTTTGAACAATTGAGACAGGGCACAATGTTTGTTGCTGAATATGAAACAAAGTTCACCGAGCTTGCGAGATATGCACCGCATATGGTGGACACTGATTATAAGAAGGCCAGAAAGTTCGAAGGCGGCCTTAATGTTGCAATTCTTGATAGGATTAATGTTCTGAAGCTACCAAACTATATAAATGTTCTTGACCAGGCCTTGATGGCTGAATCAAACATCGAGGCACTGAAAACTGAAACACCAGCGTCTGACTGGCGTGGTAAAAGGCAGGGTTTCAAATTTAAGAAAGGCAAGCATAACCCAGTGAACAAGAAGCAGAATACGGGGTCAACAACTAGCCCCAGCCAAGGAAGTGGTTTCATACCACCCTGTTCTGAGTGTGGCAAGAAGCACAAAGGGGTCTGCTACAAAATATCTGGAGCCTGTTACAGGTGTGGCAAGGTGGGCCACATGGTTAAAGACTGTCCCTCTGCTCCACAAGCCAGTAGTAAAGCTGCACCAAGCGTGGCAGCATTAACTGTTGCACCAAAACCAAACCCCAAAGCTACCGGGAAAGAGCCTTTGAGGCAGGGCCGAGTGTTCGCCCTAGTACCGGGAGACGTGCAGAATACCGAGACCGTTGTGTCAGGTATCCTCTCTATTTGCACCCAAAATGCTTATGTACTGATTGATTCGGGGTCTACGCATTCATATGTGTCGCATGCTTTTTCGCAAAAATTGAATAGACCATTAGAACCCATGAATTATCTGTTAGCTGTATCATCACCCATTGGGGAATCTATGACCTGTGCATATATATATCCTGCTTGTGAAATTATTGTTGGAGATGCACATCTGTTTATTGATTTACTACCACTGAACATTGACCATTTCGATGCTATATTGGGGATGGGCTGGTTAACGAAATATCATGCCACCATAGACTGCGTAACGAAACGAGTAGTTTTCCGTCCATCGGGTTTGCCCGAATTTGTGTTTAATGGGGTTGGAGTAGTACCTCCTCCGTATTTGGTCTCATCTGTGAAAGCTGTAAAATTGATTAGAAAATGGTGTAAAGGATATCTGTGTTCTGTATTGACTGTATCTACTGACGGTATTGCTAATGTGAACAGTATTCCCATAGTTAGTGAATTTCTAGATGTTTTCCCAGATAATCTACCAGGGGATTTGACTGACAGAGAAATTGAATTCATAGTTGA